CAAGTGTCGCCGTGTAAATATTCTAAAAGTTTGCTCTTGTTAGTATCATTGTAGTCCACGATTTATTACCTTTTCCATGTTTTCTTTCTACTTCTTAGGTTGATATCTATAGTATGTTATTAATATTTAATTCTAGTTTTTGGGGGTAAGGGGTTGGTTTTTCTACATTTTATGGGGTTGGATTAGGAGGGTGAACCAAGTAGGGGACTACGTGTCCTATTGTTCTCTCCCCTGTACATTGTACGAATCTATAAATAAATTGAGTCTTTGAAAAGCTGAAGTGTCCTTTGCCTGAGAAAACAGCCAACATTTGGCGACGCTACCATTGGTTTCCCTGCCAAATGACGTCACAAGCCGCAAGCCACGAGAAACAAGGGCGTAAAAATGTTTTCAGCGCCAAACTGCACCCTATCTGAGAACTCAACGGATCTTAAGAGAAAAGAAGGACTGCTCGCATTGGTGCATTTTATGCATCTGGGATGCAGGACGTAGAAGTAACAAAATTACAGAACTCCACTAAGGACAACACCCCCAACTCCACTCCTTTCTCCACCACCTCCTACACTACTCCTAAACTCCACTTACCACTTCACCAGATGAATAAATTTACAATGTATTGACCATCAGTTTCAACTTACACAAGGTCTAGTAGATGATGTTAAGATAAATTACTACAATTTGTTATTCAGATAGTTGCATTAACCTTTTTTTCCTTTCTTCTTCTTGCTTGCTGGCTTCCTTCCCCTCTTCTTGGCTGTCTTAGATTTGCTACTTTTTGGAAGATCACCTTCCTTTACAGTTGGCTGCTCAGAATCTTCTAGTTCTGTCAACTTGGGCTTTGTTGAAACCTTTTGTTTCTTGACTGGAGAGGGCATTTGGATCTTGGTTGCAGCATTGGCAGAAACATTACTCACTTCTTCAATGTCACTGTTTTCGTCATCACTTTCTATGTCTGCTTCAACATACCTCACAGTTCTCTTGGCGGACCTGCATGTGCAGTAATTTATTTTAATAATATTGAAATAAGTAATGGTTATGTTAAGTAACAAACTGCATGTTCTATGACAAATTTCGTTCCTCTTTTATGCTCAGTGGAGCTTTGATATAATGAAGGGCCAAGGGACTGGCAAATAGTACTCACCATAATGACGTTTTGTTATATCGAGATTCTTTCCTATATATTTTACTATTATTGGGGTTAAGAAAATCATTCACTATACTGAGGACTTTGTGATATAGAGGTTCGTTATATTGACGTTCCACTGTACCAGCGCAGAAATGCTTGCTATGCAGACTACAGCTGTTAAATTATTCTTTAGGTTACTAGCTCTCTTATCAATGTAAATACTATATAAAGTGTTAATTGAAAAACTGAACTGAAGTGTAAATCCTATATTAAGCCCCCCAGGGGACTTATTTATTTCAAGCCCATCTGAAGGGAGGCTTATTTAATTTAGAAAAGACAATGGTATCAGTTTTCGATAAATAACTAGAATACAAAGTGGAAAAGCTCAAGTACAAGAAGTTTGGAGGTCATGCACCCAAGGATCAGAATCCGAACTTCCAGTTGGTAATAAACCACCCTGGATCAGTTCACACAAAGTTTTACAGTTGCGATTGATTAATACAGTCTATCATTTATTAGTGGAGAATAATCAGGGAAGGGGAGGGGGGGGGGAGGGTTAACCGAGAGGGTGGCCTACTAACTGCCTTCCCCTGAAAAGGCTTATTTGAGGGAGAGGGGTTATTTGAGAGGGGAGGGGATAAAATAGAAGATTTATGGTAAGCGAAAAAGGAATAACCAACCTGGAAGATCTCCTGGTTGGTAAAGCTGCAGCTTCCTTCTTGAGAGCATCTATACCAGGACTGAAATCAGGATCTTCTTTTCCAGTCATGTTAAATGAAACATCACCAGGACATTCATCATCATCTTCATCACCTACATCACTATCACCCTCCTCATCTTCATCATCCAAAATAACTTCATCTATTTCATCGTCGTCTTGCACAAAATTATCATCCTTTCTTTTGTGGTTTCTTGCCTTTCTCTGGCTTCTACATTTAGGTCGCTTAGTTTTACGCTAAAAAGAGGGAATAAGTGATCATTAGGAACTTATTATTAATAACTGATCATTACAAAGATTACATCATTTCTGTCTCTGTAAATGGAAAAGGAACATATTTCCCATGTTGTTATGTACAGTAACCAAGGGGACAATAATGCTTTCCCAAATGTGGTATGACTGCTCTAGACAGTAGCTTAACCAATTCTGAATGAAAGGACAGAAGGATGAATGAACAAACAGAGAGAGAGAGAGAGAGAGAAGGATGGATGAGAGAATGACCTGGCAAAAAATGAACAAAAAATTTACATACCTACATGTAGATAAAATACTAACCTTCAAAGACTTGGCTGTACCAGCTTTCTTATCTGCCAAAGTAACTAGTGGCTTCCCATTGTAAAAATTTGTGATAATGAGAGAAATAACTTCCAGAGTCTTTCCAAGACCCATGTCATCTGCAAGAATTCCACCAAGTAAGCAGCTTGGTCGACTGCTTGTTGCAAAGTTTGTGGCTGTGTTAAAGTACTGAATCTCTTTACCAGCCTTTCTTTCTTTCCAGAAAGGTGGAAGTTCTTTACAGTTTTCACGAGCAACCATCCAAGCAAGAGCTCTTTTCTGATGTGGAAACAGCTTGGTTTTTATAGCCTAAACAGAAAAGAAGATTATCATTGATGAAGTTTCACTAACATACAACAGTAAAAGTTTCCATAAGTAGACACCCAAGAGGAACGAAGGAGTATCTGTATCTGGAGTGGGCAGCCTGCAAATGAATTACCATAAAATTCCGAAAATAAGCCCCTCCATGTATAAGCCCCTCCAAATATAAGCCCCCCAAACCAGTAATGCAAAAAACCCTCAGTTAAAGCGCCCCTCCAAATATAAGCCCCCCCGGGGGCTTGTACTTGGAAAATTGCCCTCAAATATAAAGTAAAACAAAGCAAACACGGTAAATTTACTTCCAACTACAAGGTTAGCCCAATCGAGTTTGAAACCCAAATTTCCCTCCGTAGATAGGCCCCTCCGAATATAAGCCCCTCCAAAAATAATTTAGCCCCTCAAAAAGGGCCTTTGAAAAATATAAGCCCTGGGGCTTATTTTCGGAATTTTACGGTACCAAATGTTGCTGGTCTCTACCCAGAAAATCCCTCGTGGGGATAATCCTTATACACTGACAACTTTGTAAGCATTCCATAGCATTATCAGAGATAGGAAGCCATCCACAGGAACTTCAAATCCATTCTGACAACAGTTTCACTAAAACATGTTGTAATTTACAAGGGAAAAATTACGGATGGACCACTATTAATGATAATATTTTCCACTGCCATATAGCTTCACCACCATTCTTTCAGCTTTCCCATCAATTCAATGGTAACTTTATCACAACAAATAAAAAATAAATAAATTACCTCTGCTGGTTCAATAGTAGCCACTTTACTATTCTCTCCTATCTTCTGAAACAGTTTGTCCAATTCTCTTGTCATCTGATACAACAAAATTTGTTTTAAGTTTTATAATTGAAGTAATCATAAACTACCGTAACCTTGGTGTTGCAAAATGGTGTACAGAAACACAGGACCACAACAAATCTAAGCCCCCAAAAAGGTGAATTCCGGACTTCAACCTTATCCTTCCAAGTTTGGAACAAATCCCAATTACACAATTCTTCATTTCAGACATAACCATTCAAGTCTGATGTTCATCTGATCTCCCGGTCAAACTTCTTTTTAATGCCAGATGTTAGCAGTTATGTCTGACATAATTTTTTTAAAGCAAATGGGCTACACAACACCACTAAAGTATATTTTTATACATTGACTCCACTGGAAACCTACCTGATCATGAGAAATTTTAATAGAAGGTGGTCTGCCAATGTTCATCATTGCAGCAGAGGTAGCACTTGACATTCCATTTTTTGGTGGAATTGGTTCCCTGAAAGTTCGTAACATGTAGCCATGCCGACGCATCCTTTGGAGAACTTCTTGTTCATTTTCTGGTCTGCCCCAAAATGTAATATCACAAGGCATGGTATAGATGTTGTTTTTTCCAAAGGGAACAACCCTAAAAATACAAATGGTGTATTTTCACAAAATCATTAATTTGTTGTAAAACTATAGTCAACTCCTGTTATTGCAGAAAATTTGGGGGCTAAAAAGTCCTTAAAGGGAATAAAGGCAAGAGTCTGCAACCCCATGACAACGTGGTGCAGGAACAAATTTCTTTGAAAATGTTTCTTTACAAAGAGAACTTGTGTTTATATTGCCTGCATGAGCAACATCAATCTTTATTTGTACTGCTCACTCTTTCTCAACAATAATGAAGACAATGAAAATATTAAAAGTGAAATAATTATTATCAGAGTACTGCCTGCCTGGAATAACTATAGGGGATAGCAGTGGGTTCAAGCCTCGCCTGTCGTGTTGTTTCCTTAGACAAGGAATTTTACTCCATTTTGTCTTGTTTCACCAAGGTGGCCAGGTGCATGAATTTTTAGATTTGGTGCACATATCAAAATGTTTAGTCAAACTCATCACCAACAGATGAGCTTGGGCAATAGTGCCTACAAAGTTGGTGGAGCTGGGCAATGCTCTAGCATGAGGAGGAGGTATCCATGGCAACCCTGCGAGCGGCCCACATCAGGCACCGTCACTCTGAAAAATTCAGTGGAATACTTAACGACCAATACTTACCAGGCCCATAACTCAAGAGGGAGGGAGGGATGGGATAAAACCAAAGCACAAAAAGGTACGCAAACAGCAAGCTATTGCAACAACACTTTGCGAAGAACTGCAAGCAAGCAACTGCAAATATATGTCACAAGGTGCCCCTGCTAGAGGCATCGGCCACCCCTAGTATAGTTGGGGAAACTGCTGACCAGCATTGCTTCGAGGTTAACTTTGCCTAAATTACATTTAACCACATTTAGTCTATCATATCCTTTTATTTCAGTCATGAATTCTACTAGACCCAGGCGCACTATACTGTCTCCTCCAAGGGTACGCTGCTGAATACGATTAGGGCCAACACTGTCACCTTTGAGAACAGTTTTCCCTGTAGAGCCCCAAGAATCGGGAATACTTTACTGTTCAGCAGTGCACTTAAAAAAAGATCTTTTTAATCACTACTTGTATCTCACTAGGTCTGTTTATGATGTTGACATCCCCCAGACCTTTAAGAGTGCTTGTGTAATAAATGCCACAATAGTCGGCCATTGAAAAGCATGCTCGATCGTATGCGTTCTTGATTTTTTTATTGACGTCCTCCCCAATTCTGTTTTTACATTTCAGTTTCTTTTTTTGTTGTTTCTAAAGTATTGTCATTCTTGTTAAAGTTGTATTATTAATTTCCTTTTTTTTTTTCCTGGACCTCGTAGTGGAAATTGCTCTGTGAGTGATCCAGGCCTCTTGGCGAAGATTATATTCTAATGAATAAATAAGTATAACTGGGTACCGGCAATATACTACTGGGGTAACCAGGGCTGTGCTCTAGCAGAAACCGGTGGCCCCTGGGGCCCAACTTTTGCTCTTAGGTGACTAGTAAATCTTAGTTTTTTCATACAAATCATATGCTGGCAACCTAGATTTTACAGGTTCAGAGCACTGGGCTCCCTTTATTTTCCCTTAGAGCACAGCCTTGGGTAACCCTGCGATGGACTAGCATCCCAACGGGGGGAAAAGGGCAATGCTCCTAAGCATGCTTCATACTAAGGAAACCGGGATAAGCTCCGGCTGTTTGGGCTTTTGGCTCTTATGCGCCTTTATCTTTTTTAGCGGGGCCAGGCAGCCAGTTGACTTCAGCATTAAATAGACATAAATTACAGGTCAGCAAATACTAAAGCACAAATGTAGGCAGCTTCAATAAGCTAAATTCACTGTAAATTAATGGAGCTGAAAAATTACTGCCATCTTTCCTGCTGACTGCTGACCATTTCAGATGCCTTTGATGCCTTTTTTCCCCTATTGTTGCTTTTGTTTCACATACTGAGAAAAGAGTTGGCGGAGAAAAGTGACAATGGAAATATCGCTGCTTTCGCGGCTACAATATCCAGTGGATAGCACTGTCCAAAGCTTGAACAACATGGGCCACATAAATCTCTATCTACCAGATAAGTGCTCGGGAAACCAATACCAATGGTGTTTTCCATCGGACACAGACTTTTCCAGTGGATGTTAGCCATCCTTCAAACAACTGGGCCCAGGATTATTTTTCTACAGAAATATGGCGTGAACTCAGAAAATCAGTTCAGAGTTTCAAAAAATAATGCAGGACGAATTAACTGTTTTGTTTTTCTTTGGGATAGTAGTGTATGGTATCCCTCAATCAGCAGCTTCCCCCTGGGGTCAGCTGCCACTTACTGTATTAAAAACTACTAGTGTTGTAGCTACTGGCATTCTGGGGAATTTGTTCAAGTGCCAATATAAAACCAAACTTTTTTAAATACCCCTGGGAACTGGCCAGAGAAATTCTCACATTACATCATATCAGTTCTATGTACGCCTTGCATCTAGTTTTGCAACGCAATTCTTTATTTCTCTCTTCCTACTCGCTCATATTTTAAAATGCGCAGATATGTAAATCAATATTAATGCATAAAGGCGTAAGTTCCACAAACGGTTAAACAACAGTTAACATAAAATAACGTGTTAAAACATGTGACAAATTTTGAAGAAACCAGCGACACACCGTCGACTCTATCACATATAAGTAAAGGTAACTTTGCCAAAACCTACCCTTCTAATCGCACCAGTCTGTTATCCATTACATCCGCTAGTGCTCGAGCAAGCTCCCTCTTTATGTGTCCCACTTGAATTCCATAAACATTATCCACCCTAACAGCATTTCTATCGTACGGATTGTGAGGTTCACGTGTGAGCGACACCATTTCGTTGTTGTTCACAGTCCCGCGATAGTAACGTATGCCCACAATATCACCTCTATAACCCCCAAAACAGACTTCATGGTCCAACTCATCATCCGAATCCGGAATATCTAGAAAATTAGACATTTGCAACCAGGATTAAAAGGTATATAGAAGCTAAGCTAAGGCGAAAGTAAGCCTATGCTCAACGTGGAGGGAGAGAGATCGACGTGAGGTCGCGGATTTTCGCGCCCGCGTTTCAAACGTGTATCAAATGACGTTCTGGAAGCGCGAAGACTGGTTAGAGGCGATTGGGACAATCAAGCGGCAATCGTCTCGCAATCCTCCCAGCGTTTGTGGGGAAGGAACGCGTGATTAAGTTCTGGGAGGCTAAGGTAACCTCGACTTGCCCACAATTTTTCTCGAAAGCGAAGCTCGCGAAGGAGATTTTTTATGTTTTCTGCAGCGGCAAAAGTGTGCGAGGCGGGAGAGATGGGTCGCTGGAGACTACTACCGGAACCGGAAATGAGAAGCGAATGACTTCCAGAAAGTTCAGGGGGTACTGAGAGGTCCTCTTTGCAGCGACGATGATTGAAGACGGCGGCAACAGCGACGACATGCTAGCTTAGAATGTGGCCTTATTTCTGTTTTTGTTGAAGGGCAAGGAATATATTTAAACAGAGAAATCCTCAACAGTTAATAGTCACTACTTGTGTCTATTGCACCACATCAAAAGTCACAAATGTACCGACTGAAAGACACGACCGCCTTCGTTACTTCATTGGAACAAATATACCCGAGACACAAACATGCGATAAGAGGAGGGGACACAATCCGGGGGGGGGGGGGAGTGGTTTTTTTTGTGTTTGTAGAAGAAAAAAAAAAAAAAAAAAAAAAAACAAACAACTACATAGTTTATTCATCATCTATAGACAAAAAAACAAAAAAAAAAAAAAAAAAAAACAAAAAAAAACACACTCCCCCCTTTTTTTAAAAAACAAAAAAAAAAAACCCGCGAAAAAAAGAAGGGGGGGGGGGGGGGGGGGGGGGGGGGGGGGGGGGGGGGGGTCACTTGGGTATTTTTCGGGTGGGTGGTGGGTATGTGCCGCCCGGGACTCCAAATTGACACCCCGTTCTAAAATACATAAGCTGTAACTTTTTTGCCATCCGAAAACCCTTTTAAGAAAATATAAATAAAATAAACTCTTGATAATTTTCTCAACCATGTCATATAAAATATAGAGCATCTCCTCTATAACACCTCATGTCATTCGATTTGAGCAAATAAGACATACCGAGAGAATTCAGGACCTTTTGGGTAACAAGAGCAGCGATTGATTGGATGTTTTACTGATACCAGCAAAAGTAAGGAAACGTTTTTTATTATCCACAACATACGAATTTACAGGGACATAGCCGACCTCGTTCCCAGGGTTCTCTCCTACCCTGGGAACGAGGTTGGGACATGGGACATGGGACATCGTTGGCCGTTTCTCCTCGCTCTTCGAAGCTTGGTCCCCTAGAGGAACGGCTGTTTTCGCAGGCTAACGCGGACAAGGAAGAAATTAGGACTGAGAGGTTGGTTGGGGGTGTCTCAAACTCAAATTTTAGGGATACTGAAAGGGGATCTCTGAAAATGTTTAATGCAGCAAGTAGGGGTTCTCCAAATGTTTCAGATAGTAGATAATTTCTCATCAGGCCCCTTCCCCCATCCCCCCGACCCAACAAGTTTTTGTGAACGCTCCCTAAGATCTTTATTGGACATGCAATGCATGCTGCTTGGATACAGTTTCGAACCCGGGCCTAATACCCGTGCGCTTAGTACAGTGGGATCAGTAACCATCGGTTTATCAATAAACAGATGCTCGCACTCTAAAAACCGGTTTGACCAGAGAAAACGAGATTGACTAGTCCAGAAATTCGGGCTGCGGCGACTTTCTAAGCTTGACGCGATTCAGGCAGACAGAGCCTCCTTTTCTGCTCCGACCTTGATCAAAGAGACGACAAATGGAAGCTCTGCTCACAAAGTGTTGTTTTCAGTAGCGGATCCACCCGGTGCCCCCTCCCTTAATTTTAGAGCAATGTGAGGCCCGAAGGGCCGAAAAAAAAAATTGAGACTGGGGGCCCCCCTCTAATCTCAGGGTCTGGATGACCGCCTCCTCCCCCCCCCCCCCCCTCACGGGCCGGACCAGGCACGGCTTTTAGAACCCCACCCCACACACAACAAGGGTTTAGAAATATTTTTTTTTTGACCAGGGGGGGGCAAGACAGCATCCTCATAACCTCCTATCTTTTCCATACGCCAAAATAAAATCATCTATACCTACTCTCGTGTCCATACTACATAATAAAATATTAAGAGCCACCTTACGAGGTCAATATACAAAGCTGATGATGTAAGCTGTTTAAGTCAGAAAGAACCTGGAGACACAAGCAGCAACATCTGCCAGATCTGCCAGAGCTTATAATTAAGTACAAGTTATTTTTGCCTAAAACTGGTAACACCGGTCAGATCTGGGAGCTGTATTTTGTTACAAGCACTGTGTACAAATACACAAACAAAAATAATTTGTTTCCATTTTTTTTTTGCTGTAAACCAATACGTTTTTATATCTTATGACATATCCTGGAAGTTTTGCGCCGCTCTGGTCGGCACAACGTGACAACAATCAATCCTTTTTTTTTTTCGTTGCTTGATACTTTTTGCAATTTTTAGTTTGTTTTTGCAGAGAATTTTTTTTACTCTGTTAGCTAACAAGGTAGCCGCTACTTCATCATTTAGATAAGATCCGCCACGTTCATAGGCATTTCCTCTATTACTGTGTTGTAGAACGTTTCAATATCCTGCAAAATACGTTTATCCTCATCGGTAACAAAGTTGATAGCAACACCTTTACGGCCAAAACGACCACCACGACCAATCCTAAAAAGCAAAATTTTCGATAAGTTGAGAATTTCGGAGTTGCGTAGGGAACTGGGGCGAGTTTCAAATTTAAACTAATCGATAAACTGACACAACCATATAAAAGGTCATGTTGAGATTGGTTATTTGACAGGGTTTGGTGCTCTAAAGTTGAACAGGGATCAAGTTATGATTCTTGGAACACGGTTAAAGATCCATACAAATGTCTGTAATTTTGTAACCGCGTCCCCCAAAATCATATGAACTCTTTTCAATCTTTTTTTCAGTTTTTCTGTTAAACATAAAACTGTAAAATTCGTCATGCATCTACCACTTGAAAGAAACTTATTCGAAAATCACTGTTTGCCAATTTTCATTTTGTAATGTTTGTTCTTCAGTATAAGAAAAATTGTATAAGGGAACTTTGGGAAATTTATGATATGAAGACACTGCCAAGCCTCGAAGAAAATATTTTTACCCCAAAACACCAAAAGAAACTCCAAATATTGTTAAGAACAGATTCCATGCTCATTCCTAACCTGTGAATGTAGTTTTCACGATTCCCAGGCAAATCATAGTTTATAACCAAAGAAACTTGTTGTACATCAATACCACGTGCCTGTAAAAATAGAATCCACATTACATTAGATTTAGTCTTTCAAAGGGGCTATGTCATGAAGATATAGCTGTTTTAGGTTAATTTTGTGCTAAGGTCATTACTTAGAGTTATGAAGAAAATATAAATAAAGTCTCACCAACCAAAATAATTTTAGGTGATTTTTGCATGATGAAAAGCATTAAAAATTGGGAAAATTGGCCAAATGCTTTTAAGTTTCAATCCACGTCCATCCTTGCAATCCACAGCACAAGACAACAGGAAACAGTTTCAGTGACTCACAATTCCCCCATCCAAAATCATACATGTAGCTTAAAGACCTCTCAGGATTTACCTTCACACATTAATAATTTTATGGCATACCAGTGAACCAATGTGGTAAGTTCACTATCCATTCTATATGTATTGCTGCTTTATCAGAACCACAAACTTGCTGATCATCTGCGTAAATTATTCAATATGACATGCTTCAACTGTTGTATAGTATCTTATGAAGACAATCAGCACGTTAATGATTCTGATAAAGACCCACAGCACATGAAAGCAACATTCCTCTTACAGAGCACTGCCTCGATGAGGAAAAACAAACATTCATTTACCAACAAATCAGTAGTGATGAGCACTCGACTGGAACCAGAACGGAATTCCTTCATGATCACCTCTCTCTCTTTCTGATCCATGTCACCATGCTACAAAACATAGTAGAATAATGATATCCTCATTAGAAATGCAGCAAGTAAACAATGTAAACAGTTACAACATGATGATTATGTAGATTGTAGATTTAGAGTTTGCTTTTATTTAAGGCTCATGATTGTCAAGAAATGGCTTTGCCTCCTCATTGCCTCCACTCCTTCTCCTCCTCCTCCTCCTCCTCCTCCTCCTCCTCCTCATTTTAAATGTTCTCATCTATCAAGGTTTTCATTAAGAATTCTAGTAGCAGGAGAAAGGTGTAACGTTACTGGAGAATAGTGTGAAAGAGGTAGTCTCAGCACTGGTAAACAAGGCACGGTGCCAAAAATTTGGCGTGCTGTGCCGATTTTTTTTTAGCGCGTGTAAAGGGGGTCAATGTCTAGTGTTGCTGCTTTTACAGCTTGTTCATAGAAAAACAAAAAAACAGTACACAAAGATCAATATGTACTTTATGACCTTATAAAATATGACATACCATAGAAGAAACTGTGAAGTCCTTTTCCATCATTTTCCCCTGGAGCCAGTCCACTTTCCTTCTTGTGTTCAGGAAAATCACAGCTTGAGTAATTGTAAGAGTCTCATACAAATCACACAAGGTCTCAAGTTTCCAGTCCTAAAAAAAAGGATCTAAATTTATAAAATGATTCTTTATTCTCCTTTTAGTTACTACTACATGTCATTTACTGACATCTTGGTTGTTTACCATTTACATGGGCAGACTCCTTAGTTAAACAGTTAAGGCAAATGGAAAGAAAAGTTCAGGACTTGTAAATTTCCTTGTACTCAGTTCCTTGTACTGAAAAACGGTCATGAAAGCCTGAAACTAGATGGGTTTTAACAAAATTATAGAACACAAATTGTCTGTTTGAAACATACCATCTGGAATACCTTTTGGACAGGAATACCAGATGTTCTGTTGTTCTGGAACTTTTCCACTGGAATGACCCAAAAAGCTATGTCCCATTTAATTCTTCAACAGGATTTTTCAGGAAACTTTTTGTAAATGGTTAACAACCTGTCCTTGCAGCCCTTCCTCCCCCCTTGCCTAAACACACCCACACACACACACACACCACACCCACTCTAGCAGTTTGCTTAGTCTTTTTAATACCCAGGGAGTGTGCATAGTGTTTCAATATTGTGTTGCTAGCACAAAAATTCAGAGGAGTTATAAAGCAGGATAATTTCCTGCCTTGAAAACAAGTTACTCATGGCTGAAACAAACATTGAACTCAACCAAATTTTCAACTCATAATTTATTAACATTATGGTAAAAAATGTGTTATTGATCGTTTCATCTATTTACATTGTTGAAAGTGCATGAAAGTGATGAAATAAACACATGAGCTAGAAATCTTTAAACTCTTTTAGGTCACAAAATGCAAAGGATTTAATTCCCTTAAGTCGCAGAAAAATAACGAGAAAAATCTTATAAACTGATTACTTTAATCTTGTGGAAAAAAAATTATGCGTTTTCATCAGACTGTAGACCGCAAATTATGATTGACTATTTAAAGTGTCAGTGCAATCAATGAGGCCCGTGGATTGGGATCAATGGGCAGTTGGCTGTCTGTATTAGTAAAGTTATCCTTTTGAAGCAATACATTGTTACTGGGCTGCCTGTGCAGCCCAGTTATAAATTCGGTTTTTTTGTAGAAAAATGGCCTCCCGGGGGAGGGAAGACACAAGGGTCTGGTACCGAGAAATTATGTTCTCACAAATGGTTTCATACGATTTTCCCTTGCACGGACCCTTGCACGAATACTTTTTGTACCTCGTCTCTGCCCCCAGAAACCCAGAAGGCGTTGCGAACCTGAAGAAGGCTATTTGCGTTGTTCGAAGGGATTCGATCATAGGAGTCACTCTATAATTTTTTTATTGTTCGAGTTTAAGTCAGTTGATGTTGTTGGCACTGGGAAACTCAGAGAAATGCTCACGTTGCATACAAACCCACATGCCGTTCACGGTAGGTTCACACTAAAAGATGACTGTAAGCGTTAGGTTTGGAACGCCAGGGCCGCTTCGTGAACTCAAAAAGAGAATTATTGATCAATGTAGTACATGAGCAATTAATAAGCACAAGTTATGAGCAAAGTATTTCACCAGCTGATGACACTATGGCTGAAGACTTGATTGTAAGCTGTTGTACACAGTGAAGCGAACAACTCAGTTGCTGATGAATGTCAGATGAATCCTGACAACTTCGCCATGTTAGAAGACTGGCTTTTCCTTTAAATATTTCCTTCTATTTAATGCAACACACGCCACTTTCTAAATTTTGGATACTGAGGATAAAGAAGACACAGACAAAAATAGGAACTCTGAGAATTTTGCACACAAGTTCAAGGCTTCACCGGAACATCCCATCTGGGAGCTTCACAAAGACCGACTTGAGGAAAATAAGAGCTATTACTGACAAGGTTCGGTGAGTGAGTAGAGCATACAAGTGTAGCGCAGGTCAAGGTTTCAGGGGGGTTGCTTTTGTTTGTATCTGTATCTTGCTAAGCTTTTATCATTAAATTTGTACATGATCTTGTGATCACAATTCTGTGTTTTTGCCCATTCAGCAAGCACCATATATCAGATGCATTGATGTCAGTATAAGCAAGTTTCAAAAAACATGCCTTTGAAAATTTTCGCCACTTTATGGAGATGTAAACTGAAGTCACCGCAAAATGGGAACTTAAAAAAGAGTACAGTCCATTTATCTCGAAACATAATACACGACTTACACAACCTTTATTTTCCTAAAGGTGTTTTGAATACGAATGAACACAGTAAATGTGAGGGGCAAAAGCAGTTTTAATATGAATGAACCAAGGGGTTTAATTAATATAAGGGTCAATTAGTGTGCATTGAAATGAATCGCTTGGAAAGAGAGAGTTCGCTTGGAGATGTGATCAGAGGTAAACAAGGGCACATTGTGCGTTACGTTCAGTCTTTTTAATATCCAAGGACTGTGAATGGTGTTTCCATATTGTTTAGCTGGCAAAAAAACTTTGGAGGAGTTATAAAGCGGCATAGTTATCTGCCATGAAGAAAAGTTAGTCATGGGTGTCGTGAGACAAACAGTGAACTCGAGCGAATTTTTAACTCATATCAGTTTCAGGTAAAAAAATATGTTATCAATCTTTTCATCTATTTACATTGTTTAAAGTGCGTGCTGATTTGAAAGCAACATGTGAGCGAGAAATCTTTAAACTTTTTAGGTCACAAAATACAAAGGATGTTATTCCTTTAAGTTAGAGAAAACTACCAAAAGGAAAATATTAAAACTGAATATTTTTTATCTTGTCCAAAAATTAGTGCATTTTCATGTAGACTGTAACCGCAAACTAGGATCGTCTATTTTAAGTCTCAGTGCAATCAGTGAGGCCCCTAGATCAGGGTTTCATCCAATACAATATATTTCTGTCTCATGTAAATTAGCCCAGTGGCAAGTAGCTGACCCTGTCGCATTTTATACTCGTAGAATGACAATTATTTTTGGAATTTCCGGTTACGTAAAATTAGTCACGTTATACTGTCACACTATATTTTGGGAGACAGAGGGATTCGGGGAGGGGTGCGTGAAAATAATGCAAATCGTTTCCTGCTTAGAATTAATGACTAACTTGTTTATTTTTATTCATAATCGTAAAATGTAAAAGTTATTATACAGCCCCCACTTACAAATGGTACTCATTTTTTTTGTTATGAACGTCTTTCAAAAGGGTACAATGTTCTGAATGAGTTTATGTTTCAGTCTCACATGAGATTCTCTCTCATGCAATGGTCGGCGACAAGGTTTTATTGTAGCCTGAGTATGTATAGCCGCCCCTTCCCCTCAGAAAAAATAGCCCATTGGCAGCCCAGTTAAAAATCGCCTTTCGGCAATTCTTGTTCCTGTCTAGTGTAAGCAGCCCAGTGAGTTCGCCTTTTGGCAAGGCTAGTTCTTGTGTGGTTTGAAAGATCTCTTGACCCTGCACAAGCTAGCTGACAAAGTTGTTCATGACCCTTAAAACTGATGACATCAAAAGTGATAGAAGAGACGTGGATCCACATGGACAGTTACGGACGGTCCAGGGATGAATGGGCCAAGCCAAAAATTTTCAAGAATTTTGCACCTAACTTACAACAAAATCCAACTCTACAAAGCAGACAAAAGCTTTGGCATTTTGTGATCACTTTTACGAAGGTTTCAACTTTAAAAATATATCTACTATGGAACATAATTCACCCACCTCTTTTTCTACATGGATGTAAAATTGCTTGATACCTTCAAGGGTTAATTCTTCTTTTTTGACTAAGATTTGAACTGGATCACGCATAAATCTTTTGGTCACCTCCAAAACATCTTGGGGCATTGTAGCTGAAAGCAACAAAACCTGACAAGCATAGACTAAAATAAGTTAAAATGGTAGTAATTAATTCAACATTAAAGAGTGTGACAAATTAATCAGTGTCACATTGTTATTGGAAGAATGCAACCCCTACTCAGAAATGAAGTAATGCAATGTTCTTTATTTGAGAGTTAATGTATTTAGCACGAAACTACCAATTGAGGACTCTATTTTTTATGTCTCCTTCTAAAATTTTACCTGCTCATCTGAGCCACGCAAAGGTCTAGCTGTTTGCAGGGCACAGGGGGTGCCTTCATTTCCCTTTTTTTTTTTAAAGACCCCGAGTATTGGTCTGGTCCCAGGAATCGCACCCATGATCTTCCACCCCGCAGTCAAGACTGTGCTCGACCTGCCGCATGGCACTTATTAATACAGTCGACTCTCTCTTAACGGACACCTCTATAAGACAGACACCTCTGTAAAACAGACACCCAGAATTGGTCCCTGCCTTTCTTTATTTCCTTTATTTGACTCTCTATAAGACGGACATCTCTCTAAGACGGACACTTATTGCTGGTCCCAGAGGTGTCCATCTTAGAGGGAGTTGACTGTACATGTATTTTTGCTGATAAAGGTGGTGCTTATTTTGTGGACCACACTTGTTTGAGTTGATATGATGACACAAGGCCAGAATGCATCTTTTCCTCACCTGTACACTGGAAGGTATCTTTTGAAAAACATCATATATCTGATCCTTGAAGCCTCTTGATAACATTTCATCAGCTTCATCCAAAACAAACATCTTGATAGTATCAGTTTCTTGACAACAAAGATTGCAATTTCTGTTAGTACAATTATTACTATTTGCCCAAAAATCAGTCTACAATGCCATTGTAACCCAAATAAGGCACAACCTGTACACAAGAGAATAGGGTATTAATATACACTTAATTAGTACTGTTTTCCCAAGAGTCCTGATGTTTCCCGAGATGAAGTCCACGAGGGAAAACGAAACTAACTGGTTTCCCGAGGGACCTGACATTAAGTGTTTTGTTATATTTCTAGAGTTTCAATTCAATGTACTTCAGCAGCAACAAAAGAATACGCTTAAGCAGAGCGAATCAAAACAGTAGACTTGGTACTTTTAAGAACACAAATTTAATTCTCAAAAACCACTGAATGAATGATTTACAAAGTACTTTCCTTATATTATCCGCATTTTTTTCATCCACTAGCTGCTGTTTCTCTTCTTGGATAACTTTGAAAATTGTTGCTTTTCAGCTTGAGGCTTCATGTTTGTGTTGTTGTGTTCATTCACGAAAAAGAAAACTGGCAGGGTTTTTTTCCTGCCTTCTGTCACGCCACTTTCCACCATGCTTTGATCACATGCTGTAATGTATCCCAAGCAGGGTACATTGCTTAATGTATCACAATCGCGATACATTTGATTTTAGTCAAGGCCATGTGACAAAGAATCAGACAATGACTGTCCCTGTTTAGTTGAGTGAAAGTCTAGGAATATAACAATTCTTCTCGTAGCACCTATAAAACAAGGAGAGACTCACGAAGGGCATTTCTTGATATCATGTCAAAAACTCTGCCTGGAGTTCCAACAACAATGTGAGTTCCCTCTTCTTTCAACGTTTTGATGTCCGTTCTGACATTGGTTCCACCAATACAGGCATGACACCGGGCATCCATGTAATCACCCAGAGCAATCACAACTTTCTGAATCTACAAAAAACAACACAAAAAACTGTTTTGGAGCTACCTTAAAGAGCATCAAATAGGTAGCAATTAGCTAATTTGCTAATTATGATCTCTAATTATGATTTTGAATCTACAGGAAATTAACTTAACAACCTTCTACATAATTTTTCACCAAAATAGGGGAAAGTCATCAAAAATGCTTGTTTTTCTAAGCGTTTTAGCCTTTTGTAACACCTTAAGCAGCCGGCAAAGCTGCATTCACAGCTGGTCAATTTCACTGGTGTCTGGCCCCTAATGAAACCCCTGCACACACTGAAATATTGCAACAACATACTTGTTAATATGTTACAAGAAGTATTACAGGTAATGAATGTCATTTTAAGGATTGTCAGGTCCCTAATCTTTTTAGGTAGAAGAAATACTGAGTACAAATACCTGCTGGGCTAACTCCCTGGTTGGAGCCAAAATAAGGGCTTGGCACCGGCGAGATGTTACATCAAGCTGCTGAAGAATAGCAATTGAGAATGTGGCAGTTTTTCCAGTACCTGACTGCGCTTGAGCAATGACATCAAGTCCTGTAAAACAAAACTGCAATAAGAAAGTCGTATCATGTTTAATAGGCGGCCTACATTAAAGGATCACTCTTGCTTGGCCAAACAAGCAAATAAGAGAAACTGTTTGAAAGAAAAAAGTTGACACGGCATTATTAGACTCAAACCCAGTCCATATCATGGACAACTATCGCTATTGGTGTGTGATAAAACAATAGGCCTTTTGCATTAGTTGATCACGTGTTCACTTTTGGTAAACATAAAAACAGTACTAACAATTTTGTTAGCACAACTGAAAGAGCATACATAAGGTATCTTAATTTTCAGCCATATACCTCAAAAGTAGTGATTGCAAAAGCTGCCGCAAATTAGAAGGATTTGTATGAGAAAAACAACTTTTGCCACACAGTCATGCTTGAATGGTTTTCCATACAAATCCTTCTAAATTTCGAAATTTTCAATCTGTTGTGAAATTTTTTTCCTTTAAAAGCATTACAGGGTTCAAGACTCCTTTTAATAATATTAATAACAGGCAATTTGAGACCTGAAATGCATAAAGGAGAGACTTAAAAAAGTTTAAAAATTTCAGAATTAAGGATTTGTAAGGAGAACTCACTCAGCTGAAAGAGTATACATTAGGTATCCCTTCAATTTTCAGCCGTATGTCTCAAAAGTAGCAATTGCAACAGCCTCTGAAAATAGACCTTTTTACCGATATGGCGGCTATCATGAATTTATCAGATTTAAGGAGTATTATGGGAGAATATCAGATCCTGCTCATGCCTTCTGGGCATCCCATAACACTCCTTAATCTTTTAAGTCCCAATAGTGACCAACATATATTTTCTCCTAACAATAAAGGTGCAACTTCTTCAACACCAGCAACTATTCCATCTTCATCGAAAATACAGGGCTGTCACTAAAATTTCAAGTTGCTGGGTATATGCAGTTAACCTTTAAGTCCCAATGGTGACCAACATCAATTTTCTCCTAACCATATCCATAGATTGTCCAGAGATTAGGTTATGAGAATTAATAAATTGATCACCTAAGAGAAAATGCCTTGATCTTTTATCAAATTCTCTCAACCCATCCATGAACGAAATGTATAGAGATTAGTTTAGAGAATTTGTATGTGGATATTGGGGCTTAAAGGGTTAAAGGGTGGGGAATTTTTTAGGAATTTTTTACAGGCAACAAAAGGAGCCCACAACCTATTCTTGGTGAGTGGCATTCATTGGACTCTATAGCGAGCTTTTCTCCGAATCTGTCCACATTCTTGGGCTGCCCGTGTTGTACCGACTAATAATGCATGATATGTCGCCACGAAGGCCCTGGTGTTGCATTTAAGGTTCGTCTGATGTCACGTTAATCACATGAATGCACATGCAAGTGACACAACAATCATTATTATGATTTGCAAGCACACGTAATGCAGGTACACAAGCACTGTACTAAATGAGAGACTTTTCGATTCACCTTCTAGGCCTGAAATCTATTCACCCAGGAAAATGAAAGCAGAGGAGTGTTAGCAAGTCTAGAAATCAATGTTAATCAAGTTTATTCACGTTTCACTACAGTGCATGGTTTTTATATTTTTAACGTTTCCAAGTATGTTACGTTGCTTGTCATCTAAAAGCTTCAATAAGCTTTAAACTCTGGTGTTAATTTTAGCTGTTTCAATATTATCTATTGCATATCAAGGGTTTTTGGTCATTGAAAATGGACTGAATGTTCGATGAAATAATAAGACTTCTTGCAGTATGACCGCATGTACACACACTATTACTGGTGACACACATTACTGTTTCAATGTATCTTTGCCAGCGAATAGAGCCATCTCTTCTCACTCCTCACCATTCGCAGGCTAATTGTATCTAACCAACTGTGAATAAAATCCTTGAATTAAATATAAGTCCTGTCTACTATGTCGTTCAATCCAGTTTTCATGATCTGCAGTGATTCCTTTTGTGAAAGGGCTTTCTCTGATTTACCTACACAATTATTAAAGCAGTTTTCATCAATCGCTACTCCAAGGTGAACCCAAATGTTCGCCCGCACTTCCTACCCAATGGCTACTGCTAGTTTATGTAAATTATGGAAAGTGTTTACAAAAAGTATGACAAAGCACAGCCCCATCTGAACTTTGCATGAATACACGTCATCCCCTGGATTTGAAACTTGCATCAATTTTATCATTTACAGTATGCTTATTGCTTTAAAAACTACTCTTACAACTAAATGTTATTTTACAATAACCGAGAGATTTATCATGCATTGATTGGTCAACAGTTATCGTTAATAGAAGCAATTTGTTTTCTGTTTCTAGCACATGCGATTTTCTTAGAATCTTCAACCATAATAGACATCAAAAACTGTCAATGTTATTGTTAGAAGCAAATCAACAAGAATTTTCCATGGCCTATACTCTTTTATAAAATAACTAAGATAGTACGCGTGCTCTGATTGGCCGAGAGGAGTGTTTGCATCAGAGTATGTAAACATGGCTGTGGCGTCAAGTTGTTTGGCTTTTCGCGTGCTAGTCACGCAAGCACAAATTTGAACAAGTTTTCGAGTTCAAAACTCAAAACGTTTACTTTATTTACCCATTCCTTCGTCGGCTAAAACTTGGAAAATCGTTACGAAGAAGGTGTGTACATTTTTCTTCGCTTAAGCTGACCGTTTTAAGCGAGAAAAATCCGTATTTTGCAAAGCATCTTTTTGCAAAACAAGAACTGATTACGCGTGCAAGACTTCGTGGACAAGATTTTGCGACTGGTAAGAATTTCTCTTTTAATCAGTGCCATACAAAGAGTTTTGCGTTTTTTTCTCGGGAAAGTTATTTTATAAAAGCAATAGAAAACTTTGTTCCTGTGTTTGCATAGCCTGATATAAACACTCGAGGCGCTGGGAGAATTCTACCCCTCTCATGTTTATATCAGGCTATGCAAACACGGAAAACGTTTTCTATTGCTTAAATCAACAACAGAAATGGAATCAAAAGGTTCAAAACCTTGCTTGGCAACCACTTATCTGAGGCAGGTGGTTACACTTAAGTTTTGAAAATTTTGACCTCTCTTCTATGGTCGATAAACCCTGGTTTCCATACGATCCCTGCTATTGCTAGAAAAAATGTTCCATGGCAATTGCAGCAATTATATGCAAACCACTCTTCAGCGATCATAACCACAGCAAAAATAACAAAGAGCGCCATGGATGCTCATTCATTTCAAGATTTCTGCCACCATGAATGCTGAGAAAGCAGGTACAGTGCAAACTCGTACCAAGTCACTATTTATGTGTTTTTAGGGTGAGGGAAGATTGGGGTTAGGTTGAGGTGTGCAGGGACTCCTGGGAAGGGACGAAGGAAAAATAGCGACTTGCAGATTTCGTTTCATGGAGCCATGCAACTAGCCATGCAGCCCTGCAGGAAACAAAGCCCGATAAGTTTTGCAGCTTCCGCCAGCTTTCCACAAACGATGGGTCATCTTGATGTTGCAGAAAGAAATTATAATTAATAATTTATAACAGGCAAGTTAATACATGTAGAATCAACCACATCAATGTAAGAGAGCACTGTTTCTTGAATTCCTACCTTCATGAAATGGTGGTGGCAAATGCGTCCCAGAAAGGCTCTTGTTTCATCCCCACGAAGTTTGTCTGAATAAGTGTGTGCTACATCCAAAAATGAAGCTGGAATGACCGAACCTTGAATTGCCTTGTATGTATAAAGCTTGAAATACTGTTCATTTTTTGGAAGATATCACCAAACTTGACACAAAAGTTTGTGGCCGGGTATTCTGAAGTTGTTTCAAAGACATTATTTGCAATACAGCTGCAGTGTGGGCAAGCTAATGGCCCTTCATTTAAGGCCTTACTTACATCGCCTGACAATGAGCTTTCTTCCCAAGCCACCATATTGAAACAAAACCTGCTGGTCGCTATTTTTCCTTCGTCCCTTCTGATAAGTTCCCATGCGCCTCAACCTGACCCCAATCTTCTCTCACCCCCAAAAAACACATAAAAAGCCACTGGGTACGAGTCTGGGTACAGTGAAACCTTGATTTAATGAAGTGCCAAGGGGCTGGGGAAATTTGTACATTATATTGAGGAATAGTTAACGATTAACTTATTCCCAGTATTTCTGGATCTGACCAGTTTCTGTTATAAACATTTGTAAACAAAGCTATTGTGTCAGTTTAGGGCTGAACGTAGCTACGGCACTAGAAACACAAGAACAGGCAAAGAAAACTATTTAAAAGTACTGTACACATAAATTTTGTCCTCGTTGGTTTGTTTTGGCATTCATCTTTAGCTACCTTTCAGTCATGTGTTGACATTTATTTGTTATAATCCAGGTATATTTTGCATTTGCTTTTCTGGATGGTGTTCATTATACTGAGGATGTCATTAAATTAAGGTTGGTTATATCAAAGTTCTGTTCCATTCATTTTATTGTAATTTTGGCCAGGCTGAAGAAAATCGTTTAGTACACCAAGGACTTCATTACGTAGAGGTGTGTTAAATTGAGGTTCCACTGTAATTTGGCCTCTTTTAGGAAGATGTAAAAAGGTATGACTGTAGTTCCAGAAGAGAGGTGGTGCTACCATGAATGTGAACTGAATGGAGTGAAAGATGTTGTCAGACACAGATCTCCTTGATCTTCGTTCACCTTCTTGTGGATCATGGCGATCACAGCAATCACATGGAAACCATCAACCGCCAGATCGCTGAACTATTTTTTAGCATTGGAACGACTTTAGCGTTTGGATGGAACCTAGCCCTAACACTACAGACCATGGAAAACTGTTGTTGATTTGTTGAGCCCCCTCTGGTTCTTCTTTTCTTTTTTAATAGAAATTCATGGGTTTTTTAAGATATATTTTGTCTCTACTTTGCCTGTTACGCATCATTTCAATTCTGTTGTTATAACTCAAAGTAAAATAAGGTTCTTCAAGTACAAATAACATCAAGCGTTTCTACATTTGACTGGTTCGGACGAACAAATCATTACCATTTCACTAGCCATGGTATCTGATGCCATTTCTAGCAAGAAGCCAGAAACGTCAACAGTCAAATGTAACAGAGAAAGTTTTCAGCGAAGGCTGATTTTTCGCCGTTAACGTAAAATCAATAAAGAGAGGTCACTATTTTTTAAAGCTTAAAAAGAGCCCCATTAGTAATTTATTACATTTGAAAAATAGGAAAGTTAAATTTTCGCTTGCGTTCCATTGTAAAGTAATAAAGCAAGCTAAAGTCATGAAAATGTTCAATAAAATTACAATATTTATACTAACCTTTACAGCATGGGACTATTGCTCTTTGTTGAATTGCTGATGGTTTCTCAAAGCTGCAAACGCCATAAACTGGTATTACATTATTATAATGATATACGCTTAAAAGCTCATGTGCCTGAATGAACTTTGTTCAAATTCAATTTATTTCGACAAACAGTTTTTTTAAAAAAAACTCACCCGTATGCATAAATTCCTCGCAGTAGATTTTCTTTCAATTTCATATGATCAAACGATTCATGAACTTCATCCCAGGTAGTCTGTTAAAAAAAGACAATATCGTATGGGAAAAAGTTAACCTATTCTAAAAATTCATCTCAATTCACATAAAACAAACTCGAGTTTCAAACAAGAACAGCACCTCGATCAACCCGTCAGTCCCCATCCCCGGCGGCCCATTTTGTTCCTCTCGACTCTTCTCGGAGTCTTGTTTTCTGTGGAAAGATATCAAACATCGCGAAATGATTTACAATACACGCTACTGAGAAATGCTCAAAAGCCGACTAAAACACGTGGTATCAAAGATGGCGGACGGTCTCTGCAAATGGCAATTGAAGACACGATGTTCTGTCTCTAAAAGGTCCCAGATTAAGGTTGAAGATACAAAACAACAATTTGATGGTGGAATTATTTAATTTCACATATTTTAAAAAGTTTGAGAGGTTAATTGTAGCAAAAAACAAGACATTTACTGACCTTGAATCACTAAAAGAATCGTAAGACATGTCGCATGAACAAACCAGCGGGAAAAGGAAGAAAAATTGCCCAAGCCCGCCTATAGGGGGGTAGGAACATTTCTATCGCTAGACCCAGGTGACGTCACCTAACTTCCGGAAATTAGTATTCGTACGTGGGGGAAATGGGGGATGATCTTGAGCAAAAATTTGCAATAAATTACTTTATTATAAAAGTAAGCTATGTTCTTCGAAGGCTAAGCCTTTGGTTCTCTCGATCTCGATCCAGATTGATGTGGTGGAAAAGATATCAAAAACCGTCAAAAATTGTTTCTAAATAAAACCGAGGTTTCAGGCCCTTAGGCCTAGGGTGTCGGGTGTATATGTTTTATCCTTGGTTTAATTTTTTTTCCTCTGTTCCAAATTCATTATTATACTTATCATACTTAACCATACCCCCGCCCCCTCCCCGCACGCCCCAGAGAAAAGGATAATAAAATTAAAAACAAGGATAATCCGGACAACATGTATATGCATGATTTGATCCGAGCTAGGCCAAAAGTAGAGTGAAAGCTCGGAAGGGACGTACGTCTTGGGAACCGAGACACACTGAGCCAAACCCGACCTGCAGCCAATCTAGTACAGTCGACTGCTTGACTAGGTACTCTGAAAAAGGCACGCTACGGCAACTAACCGCTTTCTGTGGTATACTGGCCTACGTCGCAAAGAACAGAAAAATTACCTTCTCTATGGTGCACAGGGCTGTGAGTAAGGTTTCAAGTTGCTGGGACAAGCAGGGAGTTAAACAGCTAGGAGGTTCTTTGGGTTCTATTTTACTTCCTATGAGAGCAACCAGGGGTAATGCTTATAGTAGCAAGGGGAAATTGCTCGGCATCATCAAGCTTTTAAAATCCCCCAAACCAGGGAACACCGGCACTTTAAACAGCGACATGCATATGTTGCAGAACAATAGAATTAGGACACGGAGACTTGCATAATTGGTGTTCGTAAAGGAAGCTAATTCGACTGTGGTTAATGGCTCATAGACAGATTTAAAGATCACGTCAATATTTACTGACAGCAACAATGATCCTCGCTTTTACGCACTCGGAGCAGGTGCACCAAGTGGTTTTTTTTTTTTCTGTAAAATAACTGTTCGAAGGAGCAAGGTACCGTGCCTGCGCAAATTTCTAAAACTCGAGAAAGGCTAAAACTGTTTGGATAGGGGTGCTTACCATTTCACAGAAAAATCCGGTTGGGGTGTTGAAACTGCAGATGGTAAGCGATTTACCAGTTTACCGCAGAATTGCCACATCCGTTACGGTTTGAATCCAAAAAGGAGGCAAATATGTGTAGCGTGAGTCTGGAGCCGAGAAGGAACCGAGAAATTGGTAAATGGTAAGCACAGGAGCCCATCACCCGGTAAGCAACATTCCGTTGGTTCAAACCAACCGTAATGAGCAGACTACCACAAAACGTATAATGTACCTCTCAGTTTTCGGTTGGAATTTCCGAAAATAAAGTGACCTTACCATTCACCTTCCATCCCGAATTTCTGAAATTTTCTGTCAAATGGTGAGCGCACCCCTGATCTTAGCCTCCCACGCGAACGTTCTTAGGGGTTCGTCACGCGTTCCTACCCCACGGGGGGGGGAAAGATTGCGTGACGAATCCGTAAGAACGTCTGCGTGGGAGGCTACCCTGATCTCTGACAGTACTCGTCTAAGCCTGATTCGGCAGGAGGTTTTTACGATTTTCGGAGGTTTGTGTTTTTCCTATTTTCTCTCCAAGATGTTGCGATTATTGTTAAAAAATGGTCTCCTGACTTTTATATTTCGCTGTAAGGTAAATCGTCCACAATATTATTCTAATGAATGTATATACGGCTACTCCACGTCCCTGAACTTTCGTCTGGACCCATCAGGGTAGCTAACAGTATAGGATCAGATGAAAAAGCCACCTACTCTCTTTTTTTTTCTATAAGAATATATTTTATAAGAATATCGAGGCCGAAATTTCAAAATTTTAAGAATACTTTAGGAATAAACTCGAGGCTGAGATTTCGAAAAGGATGATTATTTTGAGTGATTAGATGAAAATCTAAAAATATGTTTTTAACTAATGGCATCAAGTTCTTTTTCTCCCTAGTATCACCCCTTGCTTAATTTCAATAAAAAATTTCAATCCAGAGGATGTCATGGATCGCCTTCTTCGCCGTTTCTTTGCCGCCGGGCTTGAGAACAGATTTTCAACCCCCCGGCTCCAAGCAAAAAAGGAAAGGATTTCACGTTTTTTTGCAAATCCGGAATCTGGGTTTTAAAATATAAATCCATATTTCTCAATCGAACGCACCCTAGTTAAAAAATTAATCAGATTTTAAAAAATAGGTAATACTGCTACAATCAAATGAATCAGTTTGTAATCCTGCGGCTGCCTCCTTCTTGAGTTTTGGGTATTATTACTAAGGCATGTTTTGTTTAAATTTGGTTAGCTTCCAAGCCGGTATAGATCGTTTTCAGTCGCGTGGTCAGCAGCTTTGCAAATTGCTTGGAATAAAAGAAAGTTTTAACATGTGAACAGGTTCAATTCCCACAGGTTTTTTTTGGTACACAAACATGGCCTCCTATTCACTGTCTTGCGCACAAATATGGCCGCCTTGACGTCATGTGAAAACGATCTATTGGGGCGATGTTGCAATGAATGATTTTCCAGTAATCGGAGACTTAGTGATGCGCACAGGATTATGGGATCGCCAGGGGGCGAACATTGCAAGTCGTTATAAAGAAATATATGGCGTGGAGCTGTTTCTCCGTTTAAAACCAGTGTCTTTGGGCAGAGAATGCCGCATTTTGCGGTGATTTTATGAGAAGCGAAGGTGACTAATGTTGGTGCGTTGACTGTAAGTTTTTGTGGGATCAATGCGATGAAATCTATCGATAAACACTCCTTCTTGCGAAAGGTCGACTGTGAAATTTACTGAATGGTCTCGAAATATATAGTACTAACTTACCAGGTATAAATGAGCGGGCAATGTGGACTCATTTATTAAGCCTTTCCAGGTGTAGGTACATGTTCTGATATTTACAACGAGTGTAATTACGTTCGGCTCGGCGGCGATCACAACGCTGTGCCAGTTTGTGACAACGATCGAAGGTAAGCTTATGTATTGTCGAATTTGATATGTATTAACTTTAAAAGCAAACACATCTTCCCCACATTGGTATATTGATTCCTTCTAGCCAAAAAAACACAAGCGAAATGTTTTGTCATGATCCAGAGCACCAATGAGTTCTAATGCCTTTTCCGATCATTTTGAGGGAAGATTTAGAATCTCTGAATTTCGCACATCAACTTGGTATTTATTTACACACTCACTGCTTTTGTATCGGAACCGTTCGTACGATTTGCGTCATCTACTAATGGTTAAATACCATGTACTTTCCATGAAATACTTCGTAGATGTTACTTTGTTTATACCAAAGTAAAGGAGGATTTATTTTTATGGCCACGTCCTACGATTGTTCAGCGTCATAACCAGCACACTGATCGCGGCCGAGCGTAGTTACACTCGTTGTAAATATCACCACACGTAATTAAAACTAAAAAGCTTAAATGAGCCAACCCCCCTACATGTATACCTAAATTTGCACTATATATTTCGAGACCTTTTCTTCATGTAGATCACTGAGTAAATTCAGTAAACATAAATTTCACACTCAACCTCACGCAAGAAGTGTTTATCGATATAATTTATCGCATTAATCACACAGAAACTTGAAATTTCAACGCACCAACACTAGTCACCTCCGTTTCTCATAAAATCACGGCAAAGTGCGGCATTCTATGTCCAAAGACACTGCTTTTAACCAGGTTTTTAACGGAGAAACAACTCCACGCCATACAATTCTTTGTGGCGACTCGCAATGTTTGCCCCCTAGCGATCCCAAAATCCTGTGCGCAAAACATGAGTATCCGATTACTGGAAAATCATTCATTATAGGACTTCTGTAATCATTTCTATTGAAAAATCACAGAGATCCAAAATTTCCCGATTATACCACCTCACGCTAGGAAATTAGTCAAAGCGGGGTTCGCTTGATATGGCTTTTTCCTGGTTTGGTTTTACCGGCCAAGGAGAGCAACCAGAAAAAAATGACTCTATAGAAACGAGAAATGAAGAAGTGTTGCTGACTGACGGAACCACATTTGGCAAAAAGAATGAAAGAGATGACACGCGTGAACAGCACGCGAGGAAGGACCCCCTCGCGCGTATACTTCATGTTGCGCGCTCCGTTTTAAATTTGTACAATCAGGAAAAATGTTGCCTTCACACTTTACCCTAAAAGCCCTTTGCTGCTGTAGCAAGTATCAAGCAATGGTAAATTGAAGATAAGAAAAAATAAGTCGAAAATATGCTGACCATAAATGGGAGATAAATAATCGCAATGAAAATCGTTTTTATGTCACGCGCAACTCACTTCCGAAGCTTTTACAGACGAAAACATATTGAACGCCAAAATTGGTCAGGTTAATTGTAATAGACCGGAAGTCTTAACGCTTAAGTGATAGCGTGACCGGAAACTTCAATAGGCGTGTATCCAGTCACAAAGGGCTCACACAAGACTTGAAATGGACAGATTTGGTTATTATAGGGAATTTTCCTTTTCTATTAATTAGTATAAGAAGGGGTTACCCGGCTGGTTTTATCATCAGTAAATCAGCATCTCTCGGCAGAACGACCAAAGACGAAATAGATCAGCCTTAGAATGGAAGTAATAGGAAGGGTAGGCCTCAAAAACTCAGGAAAAGTATTCGGCGTACAGCGTACAGAACATTGGAAAACAAAGCTCAGCAAAGGAAATGAACTAGTGAGGGGCGTGAATGGAGTAAAGAGGAAAGAGGAAAGACAAGAAAAGTTATCCAAAGTAGTCAAACAAAAAACAGAGGTAAGCATTCAGACAGCAACTAATCCGTCTTTTAGTATATCCCTGATTGTTATATAATTTTGGTCCTGCCACTATACTCCGATCGTCAAAAAGAGAAGTGGAAAAATTTGGTAATACTTGGGGCTAATACTTTTCTTAAGAAGGGAACGCTCGCCACCTAAATCTCACTTGAGGGTTACTGACTCGAGACAGGCCACAAAAGGAGCGGAATACTTTTAATAGTTTTTCTGTCTACCACTCAGTTGGAAATAAAGAAAGACAGACTTGGACTTTTTTAAACGGACTCAGTGTTTGTTCAAAGTTTTATCTGTAGTTTTGTAAAACGTAGTCTACCTGGTGCTCTAGAACGTTTTGACGGCTTTTAATAAACAGTGTCAAGCGTATTGCTGATTTAGCTTTTGGCCCATGATCTTTTGATTAAGTATCAGAGTATACGTAGTGATGGCATGTACCGACGTGACGAAAAATTAGATGCTATTATATCATTATAAATATACTCGGCAGCTTATGGTCTAAGGTTTGCTAATCAGTAATCAATTTGAAATTAAAGAGGTCATCAGTATCCGAGGCGTATATTGCGGAAGTAGTAGCATTACCGTATAGCCTAGCATACCGTATGAAAAACTTCCTTCACTAAAATGGACTTTTTTTTTCCCAGCCGGTGGAAAGGAAGGACCTTTTCCAGCGACCCACCGCAGTCAAAACTGTGAACTCGCCATTGACCAATGATGTCAACACGGCGTTCAGGACAATTCTGGAGCATCTGAAGAAAGCTATGTCCGTCTGCAGTTTGAAGGCAAAACTGTCATTCAAGGACTACGCAGTGAGCGTCAACAAACCGTGTGAGTTCGTGGAACTCGTAAAATGCTGCCTCGTCCTGGACGCGGAGAAAAGACAAGTCAAGTTTAAAATTCACAAGGGTGTCGCCATTTCCGCTATTAATGCTTGTATTCCTCCCCCGGTGAAGAAAGCAAAGTCTGTGATACGCACTGCCATAAAACGCATCCCCCTGCAGAATCAGACAGCAATCACTAAGCTGTTTAGCGCCATCTTTAAAGTACTGGCGACCAAGCAAGACCGAGATTACGTCACCATGTCTCAAGATGACGTCATTGATAACGACATGTCGTTTGAACAATTGATGTCAAGCAATAAACTTTATTCCACGCTCCTGGCCCTTGATCTCAAGATTTTGTGTTCCAAAAGCGTGGTCGTGGAGCTGAAAAGACGACAAATCTTGGCTGGAATACGAAGAGGGAGGGTGGTTCTAGACGCCAGCCAAGGTCTGCAGATATTCAAGGAACCTCGTGTCTTTATGAGAAGCGAGGAGGTTCAGGTTGCCTTGGTGACCCTAGCAAAGTGGGTCTCTTCACATCAACAATTCGGTGTGTTGCAAAATGTTTTAGAAGTTGTGAAATGCTTACAGGCCGTAACTAATTACAGAGGCAAATATTGAAGATCTTTCCTTGAGTGTAACTTATAGCTAGCTACATAGTAGTTTGTCTACTTTAAGACTATAAACAACCTCAAAATATACGAAATATACTTCTTTGAAATTGAATTTTTATTTGGCGGTATCAAAAATTGAGACTAAATAATCAGAAATAATACACAAATTAATGCCGACGCAGTAGTCTGTACATAGTTATCGAAATCACTGAAACGATGTTATAGCACTTTAAATAAACTTCTCAGCGATCTCATTAATTGTTTTGGCAGCCTTTTGTTGCAAGCGTGCTAGGCGTTGGAAAGTTTATCACCTTTTCCCGACATTCCTTTTCAACCAAACACCAGGCGCGTTCCGACCTCGTTACGAGGACTCGCTTTCCCTTTTGGAGAGGCACGAGGTCCTGGAACGAGGTCGGGCCTCGGTGTTCCACGCGCTCAGAAAGTGGCGGAATAGAGCGTAATGAAAGGGTAGCAAAAGAATGAAAAGCAGTTTTTTTCCTTCCGCCATATTTCGCACTGTTCCCCTAATAATCTGAATCTCGTGAAAAGCTAAGGCTTCAGCATTTCTAACAGCGCTGTCGATGAGGCAGTAGAGTTGTTACCTTTCACTCTACGCCATTCCTCGCTATTCCAAACATGCAAAGGAAGAAAAAAGCGTAAAACTTCGTCGCACCATCGACTTTCTTACAGGAAAATTTGGCATAACGATATTTTATAGCCTGCCGTACGGTCAAGTTATAAAACTTTTATAAGTGTAATTTACAAGGGTAGCCATTGTTTTAGAGTCTGAAAACAATAGCTACACTTGTAAATATAGCAATTGTAAAAGTTTTATAAATTGACCTCTGATGTGAACCGATTACCCGCTCATAGGAGCAGCCTCGTACGTAGGCAAGTTCGAATTTGACGTCACTGGTCAAGTTGTGATTCCCGTTTAGATCCAAGCCTCGTCCGCTTACTAATGATAGCGCGAACTACAATTGTAGCCTGGCCGAGGAGGACGAGACCGGGTAAAAGATGAACAGAAAGGTTTCCGAAGAAAAATCTCTGTCATATATAATTTCAATGTAACGCAACATATGTGTTAAATTCAGAAGACATGATAGACAAGATATGATGCGGTTTTTCAACTGATCAATTTAACCGGTTTGCGCTCGTTAATCTGAGTCATCACAGGTTTCTGAAATTCCAGGAAAGTTAAGAAAATGTCCTTTCTTTTAAGATCTTATAACGCTGTAAAAAGTTTTAGAATAAAAATCTGTTTTTTTGTTATGGTATTTCTTCTAGTTTGTGTTGTTAAAGTCTGTTGTTCCGTTATCGACCTAAAATACTCTTACCTTGGTAAGACGGGAAATAAATGAGAAAAAGACTTTTTCCAAGAAACCTCCCCGGGTGGGTCTCTAAAGCTAATCAATTTTTAGCGATTCCGGTATGCCCCCTGGTACTAGTACGTTTCATCCAGATAGTCTTGCGTCATTTCACGTGACGGCCATACGGCGCCACCTTTTTGAGTGGCTAAGATTCCCAGGGGAGAGTACTCCCCATAACTGTGCCCATTTGGGGAGACCCCGCCTGAAAGGGGCCACCTTTTTCAGGCTTCAGGTGTATGAATGGGTAGGGATTTTACTTATTAAAGTATATGAAAGGGTAGGGAAATCTGTCATTTCGGTCTGTAAAAATTCTTCAAAGGGCTAACAGATTTATTTTGTGGCTTAGAAGAAGTCGAGGAAACGTTCTGGTTTTTTTAAAGAGAGTACATTTACAGTAGTCATGCAGAGTTGTGAACAAGGTATGTGAAAGGGGCACCATTTGTCAATAGAAGGTATAAGAAACGGGTGCCTTTTCTGTCGAAAAATGGCATATAAAAGGGGTAAGGGGTTGAACCTCGGAGCGGAGCCTCCCCCTGATAAAACTTCTTTGAGTACCCCTGGGCTAGGATTTCACCAATCCGCAATCAATAGTGGAAATGGGGCTGGGGTAGTGCGGCATGGTCAGTTATCATGAAAATATTAGTTCACGCGCTTTTTTTTTTTTAACAATTTTCCATTTTGAATAAACTGGGCTTACGCCGGATTACGGTACGGCCTTTTCGAAACTCAAAGCTTGCGACCTTTTTAGGAAAGTCGTCAAAAATGAGAATCAGTTGTGGTTGTGACAAAGATATGCAGTGCAGCATGTCTTAATCGTGCTCCACCTCGCGCCATGATAAGAAGTTCTTATTTACATTCCATGTTGCATAACCCTGTTCATTCTCGTCCCCAAGGCCACTTGGCTTAATTTGTAACGAACTTGTGGCTAAGCACGTAACCAAAACAACAGAAAGAAGCGACGGACACTGGGAGAACGAGAAATCGTGACTAATGGAAAGCATGTCAGGACCATTAGCAGTACATGCTAGAGGCCTGGTTAACTAGCCCCAACTAGCCTAGTTAAACTCCTTACCCTTGGTTTATTATGATCTTTATTTGTTCGAATGTCCTTATGTATTGTTTGTCACCCCCACCCTCCCTCCCTGCTAAACCAAAACACCTGGTCGGGGTGATACCCATTCCTAAGCTATTTAATTCGTGACTTCCGGCATCTCATTTCTCAGAAACTCTAGGCTTTTGGGATACAAACGTAAGCCATTCAACTAAGCTTTTCATATTTTACGGTGCATTGGTCGTGGTCACGTACAAAATATGTGCTTCAAAAAATTTCTCTGCTGTTGCAAGGTAAGTTGTAGGTCATCAAAGCGTCTCTGTTGTCTGCAAAGTCTGTGGGCGAATTAGTCACATGCAAGATGTCTTCCCGTAAAGTCACGAGGCGGAAGTTGTTGCTTCTCAAAAGCACCGATGGTACTGTGATGCCATTTTAACTCTGATTACAAAGTTACTCAGTTGCCGAGTTCTGTGAGCAAAAAGAATCTGTATGCATCGCGTCGGTGCAGGATCAGATGTAAAATTCCAGTATTTGCGTCAAACACTTAAGTAAATAGTCTGCTCGTGTTACAATGTTAACCCCGTTAACAAACCATGGACTATATGAATTTACTGATTCGCTTTACTTCTTGTGACGTAAACCCTCGGTAAACTTACATGTATTTTAAGAGAAAAGCAAGAAATTCAAGAACAATGACAAAATGGTTGATTGAAATCCCACTGGCAACCATTTAGTTATTTTAAAATGCTCAATGGCATTTCGCTGGTCCGAGCGATTTGCTGTTGCTTCTACCCGAGATTCTAGGGCCAAACTCACATTGGTCTCTGAAGTTTGGGCAAACCGGAATAAACGTGCCTTTGGACCACTGGCATGAGCTTTCTTGAGCTGACACGTCTATTCAGGCAATCATATTCTTTTTGGAATTGTAGTAAACTGTATGTAGCATAACTGACTGGCTACCTCACAGGTTCACGAAACGTCACTGTCAACAATATTAGATAGATAGATACTTTTTTAACGAAGGTTTCACTTGATATCCACAGATAATGTACGCGTGGCCCTCAACCAAAAATGAAACAAAAATTAAGTAATGAATAAATATATACAAAATCAAGCAAGTCCTACTTAAAAAAAATAGTTACAAATATTAGAGACATGAAAGAGAGCCTACTTTCATTTCAGTTCATGGTAGTCTGCTACACAGCCGTTTTTAGTGTCGTCACGCAACGCTCCTCGTGGGAGGAGCGTTGCGTGACGACACTAAAAACGGCTGTGTAGCAGACTAAGTTCATGGTAGCTTGAGTTACTCTTTTGTGGGCAATTTACGGAAGTCCTACGGTATTCAGCCGACACCTCAAGAGCCTAGAGCTGTCAGACCTTGGTTTTGAATTTCTTATGCAAATTAGCTGGGTGCACATTCAATGTGCAGCCAGCTAATTTGTTTAATTTTTTTTCGCGGGGCGGCTGACAACTGACAAATGGCCAAAATTTTAACTGACAATTGACAAATCGCCTAAAATTTAACCGACAACTGACATTTGTCTTGGGTTTTACTGTCAACTGACCCGGGGGGGGAGGGGGTACTCGGGATTTCAAGTGACGGGGATGAGCGAAGGATTTTAGGTTTGAAATTTTCGATTCCGAGATTTTTTTGGGTACGAAAATTTGGCTTAGGTAGCTTGATTTGAGTAGGGATTTTTTGGGGGTATTAAAAAGAATCGGTAGTGCCCTGGCTGCGTAGTTCTGCGAATAAGGTACAAACAAACGTGTTTTGCTGTTGTTTAATAGTTAACTATGGTGTCGCTTTACATCGTACGTGTTATACAACAGTCTGCAGGAATCGGCATGGGATTTTTCAGGGTTAATTTTTGGTCCAGGGATTTTTTGCGGTTTTGCCGGAAGCCCTAGGGATTTTTTTGGGTCTTGACTTTTGGCTCCATTCGATCATACCCGTCACTTGAAATCCCGAGTACCCCCCCTGGGTCAACTGACAAAGGCCTTTCTCACAGTATTGTTCCACTCTTTTCGTCACGCTCAAAATAATATTAGCAGCAAGACGCTTAAATGTCAAATTCCGTAACTGGATCTATCGTAAAACTCATCACGTGTCATGGATCATCCGTTGGAGATGGATCTTAAATTTACGCTCCTCTGAGAACGTGCCAGCATACACGTTGGCTGCTATTAAATGAAGGCGTTATAAAAGAAACTTTAAATTTTACCGCTATGATTCAGATACGGTCTTTCTTCGTCTTTCTCATGATCTACGTCCCAATATTAAATTCTAAAGGTATAAATTTTGATTGGCTTAATGGTTGGAAATGTTGGACTCTCGTCAACAAAAACGTTAGTGTGGACGAGAGTAATACAAGATTTGAGAAATGGAGGGCCACTTGAAATGCTTTCAATAGCAAAACCGATAAAAATTAAGGAACGATTGCATCAGTTTTTGCTTTTAATGCTTAATTTACACTATATATTCCTTTTTACAGTGTTCTTGCCAGACCGCGGCATTGCAGCATTGCCGCACTTTTTCGGGAAATGCCGCACTATAATTAGCCCAAGGGGTCCCAAGGGCGTAAAGAAGGACAAGACACTGTGGAGGCTTTCTTTTCAGCATGCTTTTTACCTTGTGCGAGTCGTTCGCGTGGCAGACATTAGCGTCGCTTGGCTTGATCTCGATTATTCTATTTGGGCGACGCCCAAATAAAAATACCCTGGGTGCCAGAGACTTTTCTAGCGCGGTTACTGGTTTCTGTCAAGTCTGTATAGTGACCCGAAGGCCGACACATCTTCGGCCTAGATGTGTCGGCCTTCGGCCAACACCGAAAATTCCCGCTGCACGCGGGAAAAACCCCTGGTACCCACGGTTAAATAAAAAAAGCGTACGAAAACAGTAATTGGTTATGGCGTCCTTAGAAAACACCCAATCAGCGGTGTCCATGTGCATGCGCATGCTCATGTGTGAAATGTTGCGTTCTGAATTAAGCGTTTTGAATCTCTGCCATCTCTAAGGATGTTCTCGTATACTGTGACCCGCTTTTCTCCCTCATGACCCCCTTTTAGCTTCTCTGTGGGTCTTTTGGCAGTGTAGAAAATCCTAGTAAGAACACCTCTTTTTAGCTAAATTTCGGATCAAAAATGAACAAATAAGTTTCATAGTTAAGTATTAATAATCATTTAACTGACAACTGACGAAAGGCCAAAATTTTAACTGACAACTGACATTTGTACCCCCACCCCCCATCCAGACCCCCATGAAAGGTACGTTTTAAGTTTCAGCGAAAATGTACTGATTGACTGGGTCTCTTTGATGTCTTTTGGGAGTTCACTCCAGTTCCTAGCTGCTGAAGACCTGAAAGCATTTTTGTCCATACTAGTACTAACCATTGGTAGTATCAAATTGTGCTTTTCTCTTCTCGTGCCGAGATTATTAATGTCACTAGACATAGCTAAACATAGCTCTTGTGTAATCAAGTTGGTGCGAGATTGTTGAGGGCCCTATCCCGCAAGTACTCCAGACAGGTCTTTTGTCAAATGGCAAGATATTTAGTTCTTTGAATAGAGGTTTCGTCGGAGTGTCCCATTGTTTGTCCAGGATCATTCTGGCGCATCTTTTCTGCAGTTTGACAATACCTTGGACGTGCCGTTTGTCATTGGATCCTTAGACAACCGCCCCATAGTCAAGTATTGGCTAGTCTGCTACACAGCCGTTTTTAGTGTCGTCACGCAACGCTCCTCCTCACGTTGCGTGACGACACGAAAAACGGCTGTGTAGCAGACTAAGTTTTGGGTTGGATAATTAAGTTATAGAACAGAGTTCTTGTTTTTAGGGAAAGAAATTTCTGTGTTCTTTTCAGCAGGTCAAGTCGCTTCCCTATATTTCCTTTAACGTAAGCCATACGATTTTCCCAGGTTAAACACGTGTTTAACTTTATGCCAAGTAGCTAACTTTCCACTACAGAATCAAGTTGGCCCTTATCGGTTCTCACTGTAACATTTTCACCGTCCAAGCGCCGAAACTTCGGCTTGCTGCAGACAATCATTGACTCTGTCTTGCTATGGTTTAAAACCGTTTTACTTCCACCGGCCCGTCTGCTTAGAAGCCTCAGTTCATGAATAAGGATAGTCTCTACCTCCTCAACAGTACGTTCAGATGCAATTTGTGTTGTATCGTAATCGTAAATTTCGACAGTACTTTTGGAGACTTCCAGTGGCAGGTCGTTGAAGAAAAGTATGTTTAACTAGTATTTACTATTCTCTTGCATGTTTCTTGTATTTACTATTTCTCTTGTTTACCCATATCTCATATATGGCTGCTTATAGTGGGGAAATAATTATGATAATCCATTATCACAGCTCATACGTCTACAAAATAACGCAGTTAGAATAATGAGTGACGTTCCTTTACGAGATCATATCACTCCTCATTATGTTCATCTAGGTTTATTAAAATTTCGTAATATTGTTAAAATTTACAATTGTTTGTTTTTATATCATTATGTCTCTGATAATAAGCCGTGTAATTTTCCACCATTTCTTGTATCTGAGCAACATAATTATTTTACACGAAGTGCATCTGCTCAGCAATTACACATACCCCACTCAAGAATTAATATTCGAAAGTTTTGCCCTTCCGTCATTGGAAAATACTTTTGGAATGAACTCCCCCTTTCTATTCGCAATAAACTATCGAAAATCCTGTTCAAAAAGGCACTTAAAAATATCATCTTGCTCAATATTGACTTGTGTGCGTGTGTGTGTGTGCTAAACACAAACAAACCTGTAGCAAACACAAACTCGCCAATGTTTCATCGGAAACCAGTCCCGGGGCGAGAAAAACTGAAGCCATGAGATCGAGGCAAAATGGGCCAGCCGGTTCAAGATGGCGCCCAAACCCTGAAATCCGGGGTCACGGCACCCAGAACGCTACCCGCAGGACTCGAAAAGTAAGCGTTCTCCTTCGTCGAACGCAATAACAAATATATACTCACAGACATTTTATTTCTTTCGCTTTCTTTCAGCCTTCTGGAAGCGATGAAAGGGAACCACTGCTTTCTAAAGACAAAGGTCAAGAGGTAAAAAAAATGCTTACGCCAGTATTACTTTGGCACCAGTTTTCCTGTCTGGAAAGCAAAAACAATCATCTGGTTAAAAACTCAAGTAAATTAAGGCATGGGTCAACAGCAAAAAAATGAAGGGGGTGGTCTATAAATCAGGAGCCGATAAGTAATCGGCTCCTGATAATATGAACTGTTTATAACGAAGCCCAACTACCACCAAATATTATGAATCAGAAAAAATTATACTTCAGAACACACAAATATGATGCAAATTAGGACACGTGACCTCACTATACAGCTCCACAAAGTCTGAAAAAATCTTTAAGAAAAAATTGGCACACTTCTCAGCAAGAGTTATTTTATTTAACTGGTACAAGAAAATAGAAAATATAAGCCGCTACAAAACTGCACTTAGCAACTTTGATATATCTCTTTATTTTGAAAATAAACGGGTTTTCTGACTAGTATCCAGTCTCTCAATATACTTTTCCTTTAAAAAATCTTGACATTGCCAAGCGCAGAAATGACATATCTAACGGCCTTAAAAGCATGAAACCAGTAGAAAAATTAATTAATGGAACAAGAAAAAGTGTGCCCATTTTAGTTCAAAGCTTTTCTGGGCGTGGCGAGTCACATGACCTCATTTGCATATTTGGTGCAGGCCAAGTTACACTGTTCACAGTCCTTTATTTTTCCGTGAGATCTTCGAGATCGAGCGCTTTGCGTTACGGGCTGCCATCTTGCATGAGTGTCAAAACTACTTCGGGGGCGGGGACGGTTTGGGAGAAAGCGAGAAAAATAGGGGGACTGTAATAACATCACTGCAGCTCGCGTTCAGGAGGCGTGACAGGAATTTCACGCCTTTTACCATTCATTAATTAAGAAACTCCGCTGCTGATGAAAAACACATTTAGCATCGATTACGCGTGTTTACAAATATCTCCTTGCGAAACAGTGATTTTATGTTTCTAGGCCATTCCTCGAAATAAAATGGGCAAACATGCACAAGAAAACATTTTCCTAATCAAAATACCAAAAATCCTTCGTGTGAAAGAAGGATTAGGCACATCTTGCGCAAGATGTGCCTTATGGTATGAAAGCGTACAGTTTATGGAAACGTCGACTTGTCAACGACTTGTCAATGTCGGCAACTTCGATTAAACCCGTTGTCAACACAAATTAGCATCTATTGTCTAATGACCAATCAAACGCCTGCGTTGCTGGTACAACGTGCTTCGTGAACGCGACCTGCCGTGATGTTATTACAATCCCTCTATTTTTCTCGCCCTCCCCCCCCCCCCCCCCCCCCCCCCCCACTCCCCCCCCCCCCCCCCCCCCCCACCCTCCCTCTAACATCCTAACTCTTTTCCCACTCTGCAAGGTTTCGATAAAACTCGTATTTTTTTTTGACTTGATAGAAAATAATATAATTGGTGGTTAATATGCCAGTATATAGATCAGTATTGGGCTGTTTTCTCTTGTGTTGTATTCACCCCCCCCCCCCCCCCCCCCCCCCGAGCTATAATCCCCGACGCGCGCCCCCTCGGTACATTTGAAAATCAAGATATCCGTGACGGTAAGACGCGATATATCTAAACGATCTCACGAAAAAATAGGGGACTGTGAACAGTCTAAGGCCAAGTAGACAAAAACTAGCAGTGTATGTGTCTGACAAGTTCTCAACCTGCTACTGCTAATGGATCGAAAGATAGACCACCCCCTCACTTTTCGACTTAATAACTGGCGACCCATGCCTTAATTAACTTGAGAAGCTTCTGCTTTCACGAGGACCCCTAGTTATCAGTTTTGCTTGTAACTGTCAAGTGCTACCCTCTCCACTCCCGTCCACTCTCCACGAGTCTCCTGTAGTTATGTGGTAGAGCACCTGGACTACTAAACAGAGGGTCATAGGTTCGACTCCTGTTGAGAGAACTTGGATCAGATTTATATCCTAGTCGCCTTTGTCACTGAGTGAAGATACATCACTGCTCATAGTTATCAACGGGCTGAAAATTAAAACGACCAAATTGCCGCTTTCTATCTTTCTTTCGATTTGCCTTTGTTTAAGACGCGGATTTAACGAAGTTATAATCAACTTTTTCAGAAACCACTAAAAAGCCCACTACTTAAAAACCAAAGAAATGCTCCAGATGGATCTGAATCTGATTACGAAGACAGCATCCATTCCCTCCGGGCAACACCAGTTTCTGAATCTCAACCTACTGTTGTCCCTGACGTAGAAGTCAAACCTGCTCCACGGGAGCCCAAAAGTTTGAAAAACGAATCCAACGGAAGATCATCGGGGAAGTCGAAAGGAGCCGAAAGTAAGCCGAAAGGCACGGAAGGCAAATCAAAAGACGTCGAAAGTAAGCCGAAAGGCGCCGAAGGTACTAGCGAGAAGAAGAGCAAACTTCTTGACTTCAAAAAGTTCGACATTATTGAGCTAGACTGCATCTTCGACGATTTCAAAACAACGTTCGACCCATTTGTTCAAAACCGTGAAGATTTAGAAAAGAGCGAGGACTCCTTTAAGAAAGCTGTGCAATCTTTTGGAGAAATCCACCCCAAGGCAAGCATCGGTGAATATGTAGCTGCACTAAAGACGAAGCTTAAAGATGAGAAGATAACAGTGAAGATAAAGCAAGGCGCTTTGACCATCTACGAACAGGGCGGGGCAATAGTAAAAGGGATTTCGGATGCGGTTACTGCTGTTAATGCCATTCTTAAATTGGGGAAAGATTTGAAAGCGATGCCGCTGACTATTCAAAAGGGAACCGATGACGCGGTTGACCGGGCAGAAGGCCTGGATGTTCAGGACATTTTAAAGCGAGAATTTAAGAGTGTTTGGGATTTCGGAAAGATTCCGAAATTGAAAAAAGCGTTCAGCAACAATGTGGAACAGATCAGAGGTGCTCCTAAAATGGTGCGAGACTTCTACCGCAAAACGAAAGAGATCATTTTGGAAATTTATCATGCGTTTGCTGATGAAGAAGATAAAAAGAAAATGCAAGAGGATCTGGCCGAAGGTGATGAGGGCAATTCGAATGAAGAGGAGACATCCGAGGGGAAAGGAAAGAAAAAGGATGAGGGCGGCGCTACTGGAAAAAGTGAAAAAAAGAAAGAGAAGAAGAAAGATGAATTTCACAAAAAGTTGAAGTTTGAATCCGTGGGGCTTGCTGATATCGATAGCGTATTTATTTCACTAGCCTCAGCCATTAATCCGTTCGTGGAGACACGTGAACGCATTCAAGCCGCGCGGGAATCCTTTGAAAACGTCGTGAAGACCGTTTGCAAGTTTGATGCAAAGAAGGAGTTTAAGGATTACATCAAAGAGTTGAAAAAGAACGCCAAGGAGGGAAACATAACAATCTTCATCGACGAGGAGGATGGTGAGATAAAGGTGAAGTCCATTAAAGGCGTCAAGCCTCCCAAGCCTTACCGTGATGCAGTGGAAGCACTCAAGAACATAAAGCTCTCTGGAAAAGAAGCTGTGGAACTAGAACCGCACGTGCAGGACGGCGTTGAAAAATGCGTGGATAGAATAAAAGCAATTGATCCACAGCGTGACTTCCATAGCCTCCTTAAGACAAAGACAGCTGTGTTCTCACTGCCAGGCAAGATAAAGAAATTCAACGACAATCGGAAAAAGGCGCAGGAAATTCCAGGCATTGTCAAAGAATTCTGTTTATATGTGGAACAGCTTGTTAGAGATATATTGGAAGCTCTAACGGGTGAAAAGGAAGAGATAGAAGAAAAGAAAGAAGACAGCGACGACGAAAAAAGCAACGGTGAGCGAAAACGATCAGAGGAAACAAAAGCAGAGGACAAAGGCGAGAAGGGCAATGACGTGGAAAGAAAAGACGAAAGCACTGACAAAATGAAAGGCCAGTTTGGCGAAAAAGAAGAAGACAAGAGTTTAGAAGCTCAAGACGAACCAGAGAAGAACGAGTATGAAGCTAGCGAGCATGTCAAGGGTGAGGAGTTTGAGAAGTCTGGCGAGAGAAGAGATGAATACGGTGGCGAAAAGAAAGTCCAGGAAGGCCAAAAAGCGGAGGACTAGCATTTATCAGCAGCGGATGAGCTTGAACGAAAAAAGAACATGCGAGACACTAGCGGAAATCTTCATGAAGAATGATTAGAATCAGAGAGTAATATTGACGTTTATTCGGATTTGATTAAATAAAGAATTATATCGCGAATGGATGTTTTGGCAAAAAGGCATTAAAAGGACTATTATAATAGAAATTAAGCTAAAGGAACTATTCGATAATTAAGAGACATTTTCATTAAAGGAAGTACATGGAAACATGTCTACCTGATGTCCACGATCAAACGCAGGATATTTTCGGTAAAGTTTTCCAGAACAGAAAATGTGAACTTTTTTAAATTTTAAATCATTCAGTTAAAACAGAAGGCTCGGAAGCCAAATGAAATGAAGAAAATTTAGCTGCTGGGCTCGAACCTATTTTTGAAGTTCTTCTGTCGTGCAATGTTGTTGAGTCACAAGGATGAATCTGTCGTAGTTAAACGTTGGCCAACGTAGGCCAACAAAGACATGAGCATAATATTTCTGTATACGGCTTCTTCCCAGGCCTTCTTATTCGATGGATTTCGGTGACGTAGCCGAACTAGCCTGTTCCAGGCTCTCAGATAGTGGGGAAGACGCGAAAGAAAAAGGCACGCGAAAAGTTGGCGGGGAAAGGGAAAAAGGAAAAAGGAAGGCCCGACTATCTCGGAGCCTGGAACAGGCTATAGCCGAACCGAACGATGGGGGAGACAAACTTGCTCGGACCACGTGACCCGAGACACACAGGCCTCGCGGAATGACTGGGCAAAGCTTATTAGTCTACTCAAGTGAAAGACATTTAGCGGCTGAGCTCAAACCGCTTATACATCATGCATCCATTCTAATGTTCTGCTGTTTTGGAATGTTGACAAACTGAAATAATAAGGGTGAATAACATTAAACGTATATGTCAATAAATGATGTGTCTTTTTTTGACACTTATTTACTCAGGGGAACATGATTGATCTGATCAGAAACCATCTCGCTTTTGAATACGTGCGGTCCACGTGGCAGGCGCTAATATGAGAGGTAAAGAGTGAGGGGGGGGGGGGG